CCCCGGCCCTTGTTGATTGACTTTTAAAAAATGAATCCATACTTTTTCCCTCTTGGATTATTTGAATCCCTTTGTATTGTGTTGGATTTAAAAAACATTTTAGGGCTGGGGATTTAGCTCAGTGGTTCTGACTTCTGCCTCTCAAGCTCAAGGTCCCGAGTTCAATCCCCTGTACAAAAAATTTTTTAAAATTGACATAATAGCTGTACATATTTAGAGGTGCAATGTGGTATTGAAATACATGCATACAATGTGTGATGAGTAGATCAGGGTAACTGGCATATCCATTACCTCAATATTTTCTTTTGTGTATGTTCAAAACATTCAAAACCTTTTTACTTTTTATTTTGAAATATACCCTTAATTATTTTTTATTATAGTAGCCTTATTGTGCCATAGAACATTAGCAATTATTCCTATTTTACTTCTGTTGGAATTTTAACTATACCACTCTATAATTTTTTTTTTTTTTTGGTACTGGGGATCAAACTCGGGTCCTTGTGCTTGCAAGGCAGGCGGCGGAACCACTGAGCTAAATCCCCGGCCCAACCCTATAATTTTTTATTGTGATACTTGCATTAGCATATTTTATTGTGCTATTGTTGTTTTACATATTTTACTTCTCCATATATTATAAATCCATGATAAATTATTTTCTTATTGTTTTAAGACAAAATAATTTTGAAAAGAAATTTTAAAAATAATGTTTTATATGTACCCATATATTTCTAGTGGTCTTTATTTCTTCCTGAAGATATGAGCTTTCATCTGGAACCATTTTATGAATGTGCTTCTTTATTTCTTGATTATGGATAACATTGTTTGATTCTTTGTATTTCTAGTAATATTTGAATTTATTATGCTCTACATTGTGGATATGGTGAGGAGACAGTGAATAATTTTATCATTTGTATAGCATGTAGGATTTTGTTCTAGGATGAAGCTGATTTATTAGAAGACCAATTATTCCTGTTGTTTTCACTGTTGCAGTTCAGTTTTGTCTTTACCCTAAGGACATTGTCCTTACTCATAGTATATGACTTTTCTGAGATCTCATCTAAATGGTTATTTGTTGATCAAAATCTCTCCTCTTCTGTCAGGTCAGAATTCTATCTTTCTAGCATTGTGCATCCTCTGTGACCTCACATAAGTTCTTAATCTGCCAGCAAATGTTGTCTCCTAGAATTGTGGAATCCTTGGGTACACATTCAAAATGTACTGCTTAGCTGAGAACCCAAAGGGTCCTTTCTGTGGCTTATTCCTCTCTGACCTACACATTCTGGCTATCTTGGCATCCTTGAACTCTGGCCTTCTTCATCCTAATAACAGAGGCTGCTCCCATTTGCTTGGGGTCCACTTCACTATTCTGGGTTTGCAAATTGCCTCTAGGAGGAAAGTTGGGGTTGAATATGGTAGTTTCTTCATTATCTTGTCTTCTTTAAAGAATTTCATCCTTGTGCTGTCAATTTTCCAGTTTGCACATAGTAGCTTTATATATTTTTCTAATCTTATAAAGCTGTTAGTGCTCAAAGAGAAAGTGTAATATTAGCTACTCCCTTACTCCTGAAATGTGATGTTTGATGACTTATATTTTCATTACTGTTCTTTTTATTCCAGCCAAATTGAAGGCCATATGGTTTTAGAGGTAAGGAGAGATTGGAAATGTAGAGACTCACACTAATTCTGTGATTCTGAGCAAGTGGCTTCACAGTGTCTCTTTCTGTCAGATGAGGGTAAATATTAACTGTGTGAACTCCTAACTTGCTGGCATTGGAAATATTTAGAAAGATTAAAAAATACAGTGACCATTTTCATACCCAGAGAGAGTTTGATCCAGGAGAACTGGTTTACCCTAAAATTTTTATCTGATAATTACTCTAAGTAATTATTTTGCTCAGTTAGTGATTTGGAAAACACAGGAGAAGACAATCTCTTCAGTTTTTTTGAGTCAAAATTCTATGAGTTTTTGGAGTTGATATTATAGATAGAAAATAAAGATGAGAGATTGGGACATAGGACAGACAATTTTTGTCAAGGCAGAGCTTAGAAGTGAGCAGTAGAAGACAGAAAAAGACAAAAGCATACCAAACAGGCTGTTAGAAGAATTGTTTAAGGCATGTGAGTGGAAGGCAGGGACAGCCAATGGGAATTTTAACTAGTTAGTAATTTAGAGAAGGCTGGTTTTAGCAGAGATTGAGAGTAGTTACCTGATAAAGTCTTTTTATTATCTTTAAACTTACCCTCCATGAGAAGACAGGGAAAGGAATCACAGAAATCCCTTTTAGTTTTTGAAGCTGGGAATAGTGCAATTAATTCCAGGAATGAGTTGAAATATGAATAAATTATTCATTGTTCTACTGTAAACTCCAAAAATCCCCTGTGTTAAGCTATCTTGGCTCTTACAATTTCTTTTTACTAAATTTATGGAATATTTATTTATTGTTCTTCAAGAGATTCTCAGATCCAAGAAGGCAAGAACCCTGCTTTATGGATTTTTAAAAAATTTTATTTTATTGGTCCATTTTAGGTATACAATATAATGACATTCATCATTGGAAATTTACACCTTTACATAATCTCTCTTGGTTCTTATTTTCCCCGCTTCCCCTGCCCTCCCTTCAATCCCTCCATCCCTCCCTATTTATAAAGACTTTGTTTCCATTTTTTCATTTTCTCATATTTTTCCTTTCCCTTCTTTCCTTTCCCCTACCCCTCCCACTTCCCCTTCCCCTT